CTTCGTGAGGACACCTATTCACACGCACACCCTCACACTGCGCTACACGTTGTCCACTACCTGAATTCCACTGCTTCCGCTACAATGTTGCCAATGCCTCAGAAACATCATGGCCGCCGTATATACATGAATGCATGTATCTGCCACACTTCCTCTTAGGCAAGCGCTGCCGCTACAAGGTCCAACAAACCGTGAAGAAGTTCGTGCATACATGGGGCTCGTGAACTATTATGGCAGATTCGTTAAAAACTTAAGCGACATAGTTCACCCGAGCAATAGATTGCTGCAAGACAAAGTGACTTGGTCATTCGACAAAAAGTGCAAAGTGGCGTTCGAGGAAATAAAAAAGCAAATGCAATCAAACGTAATTCTTGCCCACTACGATTCAAAGTTGCCGATCACGTTAGCTGTGGATGCTAGCCCAATCGGGGTAGGGGCGATCCTTAGCCACATGTATGAAGATGGCACTGAGAGACCGATTCAGTTCGCGTCACAGACTTTAAGCAAAGTGCAACAACGCTATTCGCAGCTCGACAAAGAGGCATACGCAATTATTTTCGGAATACGTAAGTTTTACCAATATTTATATGGAAGACAATTTACGCTCGTTACAGATAATCGGGCGATATCACAAATATTTTCACCTGGTAGAGGCATACCGATAAACTCAGCAACTCGTATGCGCGTTATATTTGGAACAGTTTGACTACAAAATCAAATGCAAGCGTTCGAAAGAGAATGGGAACGCAGATGCTCTTTCGCGCTTACCCAATGCAGCCACATACGAACAGGTGGAAGAAGTTTATGTGGTGGAAGAAGAGTTGTTCGAAAATTTGCCGGTAACGGTAGCGGAACTTCAGCGTGAAACGACAGCGGACGAAACAATAAGACGACTTTATGAGGGTTTGAAGTATGGCAGAAAGTGCGAGGCAAAAGATCGATTTGGCATCGAACAACACGAATTTACTTTACATAATGACTGTATACTGAGGGGAGTGCGCGTATACATTCCAAATAATCTACGACAAAGAGTACTGGACGAATTGCACACGGCTCATTTCGGTGTGGTCAGAATCAAAAGTTTGGCCAGAGCCTACGTATGGTGGTATCAAATGCATAAGGACATCGAGAATGTGGTGCAAAAGTGCATTGCATGCCAAGTCACCCGACCAGACCCTAAAAGAACAATGCCAGTACACAGTTGGAAAACACCCGGAAAAGTTTTTGAACGAGTACACATAGATTATGCCGGTCCGGTAATGGGTAAATATTTGTTTATTTTAATTGACGCATTTAGCAAATGGCCGGAAGTTCATTTAACTTCCACCGAAACAACGGTTGAAAAATGTCGTGAGATATTTGCGCAGTTTGGTGTACCAAATGTCTTGGTAAGTGATCACGGAAGACAGTTCAACTCGACCGAATTTCAAAAATTTTTGAAGGAAAATGGAGTCATCCATAAGCAAGGAGCACCGTATCACCCAGCAACAAACGGTCAAGCAGAACGTTATGTACAAACGATTAAGAATAACTTATCGCAGCAAATTGCACACCAGAATCGCTGAAAAGCGAGCTTTCAAAGATACTTATAGCTTACAGGCGAACCATTCACCCAGTAACTAACAAATCGCCATCGATGCTTATGCTAGGGCGGCAAATACAAACACGTTTGGATTTACTTTTGCCGCAAAATGGTCAAGCGGAATTCGGTAAGACACTACCAACAAAGAGGATTGACATAGGGGAAAGAGTAGCAGTACGCGATTACCTGTCAAAGCCCAAATGGAAATTTGGAGTAGTTGAGGCAAATAAAGGCGATTTGCATTATAGTGTCAGACGTCGAAAATGGACGAGACATATCGACCAAATGCGAAGATCAAGAGTATCAATCGACGATACGCCGGAAGATTCTTCTAAAGCAACAGGAATGCTAGCGGGAGGTCCAGTTAGCGAACAAATGGGAAGAGCTCAGAATCATTCATTATCGTCACATCAGACTCCAGATGCGGTCACAAATCACTCATCGCAATCATCATCTCAACCACATCAACCTGTCGAGGCACCACCTGAAGAAACACTTC